AGTCCACATGTTTAGTAATCTTCCAGAGGACAGAAATAACATCAGCTTAGAAGAGCCAATAATGGTGTTCTCTGACTGTTGTAATCTACTAAGGAAATTTTCCATCAGAAGATGGTGTAAAGTGTGTGAAAGTGGTTCGGAGTATTTGCTGCTTTCATGGGGCATCTCTAGGATTGCCAAGTTCAGCTAGTACTGCTGTATATCTTGAAGATTTGTTAGTAAAGTGACTGCAAAGTCTGTAGTGGTAGCTAAAGTCCTGTGTTCCTTGGTATCTTATGTGGTCAGTTTGCACATAGAAAATTCTGACAACTTTGCTTGTTCTTGTTTTTATGTTTAAAAATTATGGGTTTTTTAGGGGACTTTTAGGCCCAGATCCACTAAATGTCTTCTGAATGTACAGGAAATATAATATAAGTTTCTCCTTAATCCATAAGGTAAGTAGCCATGTGTTGCTGTGTTTTCTGCCATTTGAAGAGGAACTAATGCACAAGATCATTTTGAACTGCAGACTTTTGGCCAGCTTAAATGTTGGAAAAATTTGATACTATATTTGGGAAATCTTTATTAATTTTTTTTCTTACACTGGCATTTGTCAGATAGGTATACTGTAAGAAAGTAGTCTAACTCACCTAATTAAATGTGCAGCAAGTCAGAGAAATATCAATTTAGATGTATTCCAGGTCTCATGTGCAGGAGAAGCCTCAAGATCTTACAGATTGTGCTGCGCAAATATGTTTTTGACAAGGCCTTTTGCCTTTCCACTGTACTGCAGCTGTTTTCTGGGATCTCATCATTTCACACCTCATTTCACACTGCAGCATTCTCCCCTTCTCACTGAGAAATACAGTGCTACCCCCTGTGCTTTGATTTAGCCATTTGCTACTGTGCCATATTATTGATTGGCATTGAGGCCTAGCTTCATCATGTCAGACTTCAGCCTCTGATTGACAGAAAGACATTACTTGGTAGGGAATTCATCTCAATCGTCATCTGAATTACTTTCCAGCGTTCCTTATATCTCCATGTTGACACCACAAGTAACCTGATCTCTCTTGTTCAGGCACTCCCAGATGTGAGAAATGGATAAGGGGGGGGGGGTGGTGTTTATTTTATTTCTTTTGTGTTTTGTTCTTAAATGAAGTAGATTCTGACACTACCACATGATTCCATGAGCAAAGCCTCCATCATTATGGAGTAATACAATGCTGAGATTTGGTGACACTGCTGGGGGCCCCAAAACTAAAAACTCCACAATAACAGAACTTTTGATTCCATAAGTTTGAATCCATGATCTGTGTGTTGTGATATGTATTAATGCTACTGCAACCAGAAGATTTAAAATACCTCCACATAGGACTCACAACAAGCAAAAACTTGATGAGAATATAGCAAAAATATCCAAGTGAAAATCCTTTCTCAGCATGATGCAGTTTCATACGTCTTTCCTTTCCCCAGGACCCAGGAAGCTGTATCAGGTTGCAGTTCACAGCCAAAACCTATTCCTGAGGTTTTGGAAATTGGCAGCTGGTATACTTTTTATCTTTCAAATGTTGCTGTGGCAGGATAAAACCACTTTTTATATAAAACTACACGTTAAATCTGGGCATTGACATTGGAAGAGAAATCCTGAGCACAAGTTGTTGTTTGCAAGTGATGTCACTTCCTAATACGAAATGTCCTGGGATCAAACCCCGAAAAGTCATTCTTGTAGGGAAGATCTAAATTATCCATGTCAGCTAGATGCATATTGGATTCCTTCAGGTTGGATACAGACAGGGAGATAGCCTAGGGGAGTGCCTTCACCATTGAGTTTCCCTTAAAAAAATACCATTATACTGCCTTTCCTTCCAGCATTGGATTTGAGTCAAGTCACCTGTGGATGATTTTTTTAAAGTTGGTGCCGTTTAACACATTGGTAATTTTCTGATAGTTCTTACTGGGTTGAGTCTTAGAGATACATATCTAGATTTGTCTAGGTACATGCAAACATGCACAAATAATATCTTAGATGTTTGCACAAACAATACCTTAGGTGTTATGGGTACTTTACTGAAGAAAGTATAGACCCTTATAGCTTTTCAGCCAGCTGAGATGGTGTCTAAGGCAAGACTTTAGGCATCACTCTTAACTTAGAAATACTCAATTTCCACCTGAGCCCCAGGGAAGGTGGACCTTTCAAAAGTCTCCTTTTGACTAATTCTTTCCTCAGAGGAGCTGATGGCTGCAGTTCAGTATAGTAATTGCCAGGTGCCCAATTTTCATTCATGAATACTCGTCACATCAGTAGAATTATTATTCTACTTTAAAGTAACATATATTTAAGGGACTTTTTGACTGAGAGTTTAACCCAGCAGAATTGCATCCTAATATACTGGATAAAAGCAAATCCTGTCCAAAGCTGTTACACTACCCAGATGTCTGGAGTTGGATAGCTGCAGTATTTTTAGGCAGAGTACAGTATTCAGGTTTGACTGTTCCTTAAAGGGGAAAAAAAAATTAGCAGACTATTACTGTGCTTTTCATAACTACATAATAGTAATGATGCTAGTTTGTCCAGGAGTAGACAAGTAATAGCGTAGAAATAATCCATTTTTTTCACCTGGTAAATACCTACCATTTCATATGCTATGCACTGTCAGAAACATGTGGCCCATGCCAAAGAAGTCAAAGAGGAAAGAGTTGGGTTTGATTCAGAGAAGGGGTATGATTTGAAGGAGTCTTGTTTAAGTATGGTAATGGATATTGTTAGGGGAAAACACACAAATAGCATTTAGAGGCAGCCAACCATCTCTAGTACAGAGGAATATAGAATGACAAACAGCTTTTGTTTATAGCAAAAAAAAAAGTGAGTATTGGCTAAGGAGTAGTGTTTATGGTAATTGAGCTTTGCAAGGAAGTAAAACTTCGTGGGGAACACAGGGGGTAGCATTTTCAGTGAAGTAGGTAATGAGGAGAGCTGTGTAGGCATTTCCTGATTAGCATCTGCTGTTTCAACAGCTGAGAAACATGACTCGCATGTAAACGCTTGTACTAGGTTTTAACAGGCATTCCCTCTAGCATGTCACTGCCTTCTGGTTTCATTTTCAGTCGCCTTGAGCCCTACTGTGATTTGAAATCAGTGGAGGAGAAAGGAGACTAACACAAACAACAGGTGTCTTAAAGTCTTGGAACAGAGAGAGGAAAAGCCCCATGGCAAAGGAGAAGGTGCAGTTAAGGTGTTTCCTGTCATTAGTATTCAGTGCTTCTATTACAAACTGTATTTGCATTTATGCACGTGTGTGTGCATGTGTGCGTGTGTATATATATATATATATATATATACATATATATATATGCAGTTGTGCACATAGGGGGTAAAAACGTTGTAGTACATAAAGATGCCCATTGCACATATCAAAGAATTTTTTGCATCCTGTGAATGAGTGTGACCTATAGACACTAAGTGTACTGGCTCACACAGCCAAAGCAACCTATTTTAAGGCAGGTTCACAAGTCATTTCCCATATGCTACAGCAACTGCTTTTAGTCTGTTGCTGCATAAAATACATTAATTCTTTTTATCTGAGGTTCAAAGATGCTCCGTAATTGAAAATGCTAATAGTATGCCTGGTGTTCATCAAAACAGCTTTGCTTACTGGCGGTAACTTAAGCCATGGTAATATGAACACTATGTACCCCATCATATAGAAGAACTTGGTTGTGCACTAAATGACATTTATTGCAGATTCAGAAAAGTCTTTCATCTGTGCTTTTTGGTATGGGGAACTATGTCTTTAAGGACTTTGATTTCCAGAAAGTAAATCTGTGATAGAAAGAGCTGTGAAATTCTTACAATATATAGGCAGCTGGGGATGGCATAGAGACCCTGAAAACATGTTGCCTGCTGGGTGTTAACTCAGTACTGCATGGGGCTAGGAAAAAAAGAAATGAATAAAAAATACTGTGAATGGAGAAGTGAAAAGATATGATGTTTTCAGATTTTTTTTACTGCTTGGGAAAGATAACCAAAAGGAATATAAAAAGAGTATTCAGGGTTGAGAACTTTGCTCTCTGAAAGCTTAGCAAGGTAAGTTAAGCTTTTCCCTCTTTTCTACATCTACCTCTTCCTTTCATGTCTTATTTCTTCTACAGGCTTCAGCAGATGGGTCCACAGACAGAAAATCACATCACACAGAGTCTTATTTTCTTGTGATATTTTAAATGTATTTTTATTTGCTTATAACTTGCTGGTTTTTTCAAAGAATTTTGGTAATCTCTATCTCAATGTATGTTCACACTGTTTATTTTGTCAGTTACATATGTTATTAAAATATATATCTATGTTTAAATTATTATTTTGCTACTGCTCTGCAGAAGTTTGTATTTAGATTAACCTATAGAGAAAGTTTTTGGACAACTGCTGTTTCTAAATGTGACTTCTGAAAAATATTCCACTTTTGGAATGAATACTGAGGAAGTCAGTAGGAATTATTTTTCTTTGTCCAGGAATTTGTACAACAAAATAGTATTTTCCTGTGGTGTTTCAGGCCATGTGGATTCCAGGGCATGATATATATCTTAATACATTAGTAGCAGCATTTTGAGCTTCAAATATTAGTTGTTGTAAACCAGAGGAAGTTTGCTGAATTTACCATGTTAGAACAACTGTCATCCCATTAATGCTATTTTAGCATAGACTTTCTTAATCTTTATAAGAATATCCTATCTGAAAAAATAAGCAATAATGAATAATAATTATTCATGTATTTTGAAAATTTTTTTATGTCTGTATAGCTTCCTTTCTACTTTGAAAATGTACTATCCCTCTTGCACAGATGGGAAAACTGAGGCATCCATGGAAAGTTCACCTGGAGGTCTTCCAGAGGAAGACAGAACTCCTGTTCTCAAAGCAGAACCTTATTATAAGTCATATGTTAAACTTATCAAGAGATATTTGTAAATTAACTAAACAGAAGCCGCACTTTAGAGATACCATTTAACATTTACTTTTCCTCCCACAGGAACTTTTTACACCAGAGTGCAAATTCAAGGAGTCCGTTTTTGAAAATTATTATGTAATCTACTCATCCATGCTCTACAGACAACAGGAGTCCGGGAGGGCCTGGTTCTTGGGGCTGAACAAAGAAGGGCAGGTCATGAAAGGAAATAGAGTGAAGAAAACAAAACCAGCAGCTCATTTTCTACCCAAGCCATTGGAAGGTGAGGCTCAGTCCATTGCTGGTAGACCCTCCTATAAATCTCACAAGAAAAGGGAACGATTTCTAAAATGCCCTTTCTGAATGTGTGTGCCTTGCACAGGGGCCATTACTAATGACAGTCCTAAAGATTCATGAAGCAGTTTTGTGCTTCAGCATAGTGATGATAGAAAGGGCATATGTAAAAACATTTTTCCAGGGATTAAGAGGTCATTCAATAAGAAAAGAACTCTTTTGTGGAAGTGCATTGTGCTGCTTTTAAAATATTCTGTTGGTAGGGACAAAAGCTGTTGTGAGTCTTGCATTGAGAAAATAGTCCTTTTATTAGGCAGAATGAAATAATGGATATTGTAGGATAATCGGGAGTTATATAGGGAATGGATGAAATGTCAGCATTTCAAAGTAAAAGCTTTCTAATACAAAACACAAAGGTCTCTTTATGAAATAAATCATGCTGTGTTACTTTGCCAATTGGTGTAACGTACATAACTTTTGTAAGTTGGCCTTTAAACCAAGATAGAAGCAAATAACAGTCACAGTAACCTTACACACTAAAATGATGTCACGCATTCTCTGAAAAATGCATCCATTTATATCTTGGAAGTTTTGTCTTATCCTATGCATTCTGCAAGCCTCTATAAACCTATGCTGTCTTTCATTTCTTGTCCTGATGGCACTCCAAATTTTACTGTTCTTATTGCTACACATAGCTTCAGTCATTCTGAAAATTATCTCATCACTTAACATCTGAAAATGTCTGAGTAAATTTTTGATTAGACAATCAGTTTGTTAAATATTTTAGTTTCATCATAAAGAATCAGAATAATCTAAGTTTTGACTTCATTTTGAACTCAGGTTGATGCTTTCTTGCTTTTCTTGTCTTGTAGAAGCTTCCAGGAGTTCCATGAGCTCTCAACAATATTAATACTTTATATCTTGATTCCTTTATATTAAATAAAACAAATTGCTAAGAGGGAAAGCCATTGAATTTTTAAAAGAGATGCAAACTGATATGGATGAGGAAAAAAGTTACTCTTTTTCAATAATATTTGGATTATCAGACTATCAAAATAGCTTAGACAATGCATAGAAATAACTTGATTTCTATTACTGTAAAGAACTGCTCAGAGACTTTTGGATCTTTGAACAGCAAAGGTATTTATTGACAGCACCGGGAGCAAGCGTGGTTCGCACCACAAAGAACTTCTCAAAGGTTTCACACAAAATCAGTAGTTTTTATACAATTTTCATATATGATTAAATGCATATTCATGTGATTACAACAGCTATCTATACATATTAATAACAGGCAGAGTATAGATGGAGCTCAGGCGGGGCTTGGAGTGGTGCTTCTCTTGGCCCTCAGTCTTGGTGGGAGATCCGCTCTTCCTCTCGTGAGTCTGGGGTCTCATCTCATCTTCCTCATCCTGACCTTCCTACTTTTCCGTTGTTCTCGACCCACTCACTGGAGCTTGGAGAAAGCCTTGGCTCCAGGCCTGTTTCTCCTATTCAAATGTCTACTTTATCTTACTGCATCCTAATTTATTACCTCTAGGCCTATTGTATGCTTCTTCTACCATTCTTTTAAGCTTTAGTCCAGTAGGCAGAACAGAACGAGCACAGATCGTTTAGATGTTGGTAGTTTCTTAGCAGGCCAAGATATCTCAGTTAACTCTTTTAGGCCTGGCTCCTGTTTCATTGCCTATAAGAATCATCAAATATGATAGCTCTTCTATATAATTCCTTACTTTACAGTTCCATCTCATGTTGTTCAACTTAATAGTTGTGTAGGTCACAGTGTTATTTCATCAAGATCTTCTAATTAATCAACTAAGTGCCCTAAACACAGTTATGGGACACTCTGAAGACATAGATCATAACCAGCCTTATATACTCTAAAGAAGACATTTAATTTCAGTCTTCTAGAAGCCATAAAAGGATGTTGATTATGTCACTGGAAATGTTAGAACAAGTATTTGATTAGTTAATGATGCTATGGGGCCCTTCATATTTATTATGAAACTTCACACCATTGAAGATCAAGGTCAGTACTTTGATGCTCCAGCCTCCTACTCTAATTAGCCAAGGGATGAAGGAATTGTGCTCTCTATGGCAACACACAGCCAGTCCCAAAGTCATAGTGTGATGATTAATTCCTTTGACTGCTTTGACATCTCTTTTAACATTGCTCTGATATAAATAAATGCTACTGAAGTTAGGTATAAGTGGAAATATTACCTGATTCAGTGACATGGAAAATGAAATTGAATTATCCAAGAGCATTAATCATTAAGGCAGCTTAATGCTGGAACTGTGTAATTGAATACATGTATTTTTCTCAAAGGATTTGAAGTGGTTAGATAGGAACTGAAGCCCCAGGGCAAACTTTTAATTCCTCTAAGAATTCAGTTAATAGTTCAATCTGGAGTTTTCTGCGTTTCTACATTCAGTGGAGATCAGTGGTTACTGCATACGTTTTTGCAAAGGAGGAAGAAAAAACCCCAGACCTTCTGTGTACTCTCCACATCTCCTGGATATTTCTTCAGGATACAACTGAAGAGATCATAGCCAAGTTCCTTAGATTTGAGAGACTGATGTACACATAAGTTTGTAGAACTGTATCCTGGCCTAGTCTTGCAAATATGACTAAAAAAGAACACAACTCTAGACAACTGTATTGTATGATCCCACTTTTTAAATACAATCTGTCTTATCATGTTTTACTTCTAAAAGCTTGCATGTTTATTTAAGGGGTCTATATATATACATATGTGTATATACATTTACATTTTTGTGTGTTCACTTTATGCAAAGATAGAAGAGTAGCTTTTAATTTCCAAAAATCTATAGTGTCCATCAAACAAACAAGCATGTAGTTTCCTACTGTGTTTTTAAGTGAGATGAAGAAGTGAGAATTTTGGAGGGTCAAGAAAATCTATCAGTGATGCAAAACAAGTGTCTGTCAAAATAAATAGTTTCCCTGGTATGCAAGAGGAACATCCTACAATATCAGTTATTATAGATAATTATTTGAGATGAACTCTTACATGTGATACGTTCTTAAAAATGTTTCTCCCTTTCTCTTCTCTCCCCTCAGTTGCCATGTATCGAGAACCATCTTTGCATGATATTGGAGAAACAGTGCCAAAGGCTGGGGTAACTCCAAGTAAAAGCACAAGTGCATCTGCAATAATGAATGGCGGCAAACCAGTTAACAAGAGCAAGACGACATAGCCAGATCCTCACAGGTGTTGTGACTTACTGAATCTCGAGTACAGTTGAGCGATTTATCCTTGCCAGACTTCCTCTCGGCAGTGTCTGTGGATCAGCTTGCAGCAAGTCACCGACTTGCCCGTTGCTGTTTCTGAACTGAGTTGTTGCAAGTGGATAAATCTCAACATGTAGCTCTACCCAAAACAAGAAGACACCTGGACAAACCAGCTAAACTCAGACCATGGAATGCCCTACCAGATATTGGAATGCCTTTTTAATATCTTTTCTGTGACTGTGACACTTCATGTGAATCACATACTTCACAAGTACACTTGATACCTTGCCTGCTGACAATTGCCCATAATCCCTTTTTGAGTCCACTTTCAGCAAAATCCATGTGTTTAAGTTCTATTTTGTAGCACACAAATAATCAAGTAATTTCTAGTTAGATGCTGTAAACCTGTGCTATTATGAATTTCTCTTCTTCCCTTTTTTATAAGGCTGCTCGCTCCACTGTTTGTGAACTTTTGCAGGGATTGTGTTTCTCTATAACTTAAGTGTTGCCGGTGGCTTAGTTTTGAAAGCAATCAGGGAATCGGAAGCCTTCAAAAATCTATTATTACAAATTATATCTATAAAGAATAGGATCGTTGTCTCTGGCTTACAATATTGATTAAATGTGAATACTCTTTAGTAAAAGATACTGTGCTTCTGAGGTTGGCGTTATAGTGGAGGGAAGAGTGTCAAACACAACCAATGGGGAGTTTTATGAAACACGTGTTTGGCATCCCCGTATAGTTTCTTTTTGTGTGTGTGTTTTTCTGATTTCCCTTTATTCTCTGTAGTTCAGTCCAATGGTGAAAGGCTCCATGAGGTACATGGTCTCCACAGGCTTACTGGTAATGGTAACATTTGCCTTGCCCAGCGAGCAAGACCCACTCACTTTTGGGAAAGTGGGTCCAAAGAATTTTGTAGGCCTTGTAGGCCTGAATTAAGGCTCATTTTTCATCTACTAAATCTTCATTGTTTGAAAAACAACCACCACCAATAAAAAAAAAAAAATAAGTAAGACTAATCAGAATCGTGCTACCTAAATCCATTTCAAATATAATCCTTTCCTGTTTTTAAGGAACTGAACTTAATGCCATTGTTATTTTTGGCTGAATTCCATACCTACTTAGCAAAGCATGGGCAAGGATGTTGTGTTCTTTTTTGCAGCACCAATGCAAAGGGTAGTTACAAATTATAGTTTAATATTTCTGGTGTTTAAAAAAAATTTTAAAACTGGACATATTACAAAACTTTTTTTTTGTTTTTAGCTAAGCATGCAAAGTCCAGTCCTAGGTATTTCACTGATATTCCGGTATGTACCTCCACCCAGCTTCTGAGGATAACATGCCCACCAAATTGCTAGATTGAAGGTGCCTTGCCTTGATCTCTATATACTGTACTTTCTCCTACATCAATCTAGAAGAAATGAAAAACATTATAAAATTGAAGCCTTCGATCATATTACCAGAAACAACATTAACCCCTTGAGTTTCTCCCTTGTGAACAATTAAGCCAATGTTATGGGGTGAGGTGGGCTTGGGGGGGAAGAATTAGAGAATGCCACAGAGGTGCCACTGAAGTTTTTGCATGCTTAGTCACCGGCTTTAAGGAGATTAAAAATATGGGCACTCTCTGTATGCTTAAGATGGAATTTATTTCTCAGAAATGGCAGCAAAGATCAAACTGTATCTCAGTCTGGAAAACTGTGTGGCCTCTTGCTGTTACCTTGATATTTAAAAGGTGGAAACCATCCATTCCTTTTTTAGCACTGTATTTCTGGCAATTTGTTTTACCACGTCTTTGTGCTGAAGTCCCTAAGAGAGGCTGCTGGTTATTTCAAAGTCCCTGTCTGCTCAGCTGAACAACTGATTCAGTCTGAATGAACTCTTCATACTAGTTTTCAAATGTGTTCTGTTTTTATAAGAAACATTTAGTGCACTCTTCAAGGAGGCTACTGTAAAGCTGCTAAATTCTAGATAATTTTTTTTTTTTTTCTGTAGGTCAGACTTCCTTTTGTATATGTGCTATGAGAACAGCAAGCTAATGCTTGATGTTGGGTCTTTCTAGGGAGGGAATGAGTTAAACATGAAGCCTTCTATCCATGTAGGGGAAAAAAAAAAAAAACAAACCTAATCTAAAACTGTGATAAAAATACAAAGAAACTTTGACTTAGACTGTGCCCTTGTCTGCTAGCACTAAATATGTGTGCATGGGGAAAACACCACTTTATTAAAAACTTTGGTGTACCCTTCTAATCCTATCTGGTCCAGTGGGATTTATGCACCATCCCAGAGAAAACAAAACAAAACCAAAGCAACTCACATGATGAGCTGGGGGCTTACTCTCCACCTGTAGGATTCATGAGAGGCAGCAGCCATGATGCTGTACTATCAGCTGGGTCCCAGGGATGGCCCCGGGCCTTCCTACAATTATAAGAGGAGCACTTCACAATATTTCAAGTAAGGCAATACAGCTGAAGGCTACATTCTCTCTCACTTGATTCATGAGGAGTGAATACACAAGTTCATGTCTCATCCAGCTGTCTTTTTACTCCCCAGCATAAGAGCCTGAGGAGAGACAGGGCTGGAAAACTGGCTGAGCAAAGCGAGGAAGTTCTAGTTCATGGCCTGATCCTATATAAGTATTGTTTTCAACACTAATCTTTTGATCCTGAGTAACTATGATCTGTGAACCACTTTGGGAGTCTATAATTAAGGCCAGATTTAACTTCTGCAAGTTGTTAGTGCATACTGGAAATACAGCATTTTTTTAAATTATTGTTTTCTGGTTTTGTTGCTGTGGGCTAAATTCTTATGTATGTTTAATCCAATGAATAGATGTCCTAATTTTTTTTTATTATTACATTTTGTTTAAACATAAAAAGTTGTCTTTGTGCTTTCTTTCTTCCCTTTTATTTTGTCTTGTCTCATCTGTTGCATGGAAAGAGGATGGCAAGGATGAACTGCATGTTGTAGGTTGTATCTGTCAAAGAACTGTTGGTCAGTATTACTAAATTTACAAACATATATGCAAAGAGTTTGCATTGTACAGTTTGTTTATTCTTATTTGATGTATACACAGATTCAAAATGATGAATAAAGCACTTATATGAAGACATATATGAAAACAACAAAAAAGTTTATGTAAAAAGTAGACTGTGCAAAACATCATTGCACTGCCCACAGGATGGTGAAACTTCATGTAAATAGGTTGGCAAACTCAATTCTCCCCCTTTACCATGCCAAAGAAAATTTTAGCTCCTTAATATAATACCTCTCTTGCTGTTCTCCAGAATAAGAGTTCACCATTTTCTTCCCTCTAAAATTAATTTTGCTTTTAAGTGAAAGCTGTTTTCAACTGTCTGTTACTACTAAAGTACTGTATAGTAAACCTGATGGAATAAATTTGTATTTATAGACTGGGGGTTTTGTACTTACATGTGCAGCTGCCTGTGAATCTGCAGCCTTCCAGATCTTTTGCATGCTTGCTTTGTATTTTATTCTTCTGGGTTTTCTCTAATCTCTGAGAGACTGTTTGCACAGCAATCTAACCTCATCTTACCATTTTATATGTTAACACTGCATATAGTCATTATCTCTTCCCTTTTTTTTAAATCTGTATTTCAGCTACAGTTCTGTTTGGCAAAATTAATCACATCTGCACAGTTTCAGAAATCCAGTTTTAAGTAGATATGAACTATTTCAACAAAGCACCATTTTGTTCTACTTCAAAAATTTTATAAATACACAAGAATCCTTATGAGATTGCTCACATGATAGAGCCTATAGAAAGGGCTCTAGCTCCTTTTAAGTGCTTTGTGGTTCACATAACACAGCCTTTGCTTAACTTATTGGGGGTTTTAGCCATTCTCAAATGATTTTTTAATATATTGCCATTTTCATAAACTTTAACTGGTGTAGTCATGTTGATTCTTACTAAATCTCTTCCCTCTCTCCCCACCGTCTCACCCTCATAAAGTAAAGATATTCACTTTGACTATGGCATATACCTGACACAACACTAAGAACTCTGGCTTTATATATATATATGTAGGGAAACTTTTTGTCTTGATTTAATACTAGTTTAAGCAATGAGATATGAAATCAGGCAGTTTGGTCCATGCAGTAAAAGTATGTCTTGCTGATCCTTCTGTTTATTGGTATAAAGAAGAAATTATTCAGCTCCATTCAAATGAGAATGCAAATAAAATTAGACTAAATGAGAAGGTTCTCTTTCTTTTAGATGACCCTTTAGATAAATTCATATTCTGTGCAATGCATTCTAAAACGTTTAATAAGAGGGGTTTTTTTGGTGATGACTAATGCAAATGCTATGACTTATTTTTAAAGATGTAATAAAATTTTTGTTCTGTTACCTAGTCACAGAAATATTCAACTGAGCTTTCTTCATCCCAGTATCTTGTAGCTGTATCCTTTAGCTACAAAGTGAGATGTCATTCTGCTAAGAAGCAATGGGCAAAGCATCAGAAAAGTGAGAGCAAGTACATGATTAAATGTTCATCTGCGTGTTTCTAAAAGAGAGTGTGGCCACTGAAAAAAAGGGTCACAAGCAGGTTAATAATTTATAGAAGCAAATCAATCCACAGCTGTTTTATAGCTGATATTACAGATAAGTTATATACAGTAGGCATTATCCTGCAAGTCTATTATAGAAGCATTCAGCACACTTCTGGATTGTGTTCTTTCTCTCATAAGAAAGCAAGGACATAATATTTTTTTCGTAAGGTTTACTAATTTAATCAGTACAAAATCCCCATTTACCCAATTTGATTTTGCCTTTTGTCACAGGCCTGGGAGAAAGTTTTTACAGTCACTAGCTGTAAAGAATCAAGCAGTAAGTTTCACTTCCTTATGCCTCTTCCTGCTTTTACAGTTTATGTATCTAGAATTCCCATCATACGGAATGAGGTGTAAAATAACAATTTGATATTACAGCTATTATATTCACATATGTGTTTCTTCCAATCTCATTTTTTTAGTGAGAAAATCAGCCACAAAACAGATCTGCTGGGTGTTACACCACCAGTTACCTCAACATGAAGAGGGGAAATGTTCCAGAAACATTATAAGACACAAAATAAAAATTGGAAAAAAATTAATGTGAACATTACATTTTTAATAGTCTTAGTTAATACTTTATGGTTTATAGTAATAGCACCATTTTGTTTGATAATTGCATTTTAATGAAACAGAGTAACTGTTGTAGATATCCTATTTTTTTTCCATATGTAATATAAAAAACAACTTGGATAACAGAAATACTGTGGCTGTGTAATCCGTCCAGTGGTCAAAATGTTGGAGTTGATTGTTTTTTTCAAAAAAACCCAAACAAACTAGAAATAAGAATTAACTTACATTCGTTAAGTATATAAATTTAAAATTAAAGCAAATTACAAAGTAAAATGCATCAAATACGATACTGCAACCAGCTAAAGAATTGTTCTTTTATATATGAATGAGTACCTGAAATACCACAGCTGGTCTACAGTATATATAAATCTGCTAATGATGGGATGAACAAACCAAAAGCATCTGCTGACACCAGATAAGAGTTTTGATTATCTGATATTTTCTTATTACTGTACTAAATACAGATGGAAGAAAATAAAGGAAAACTTTGTATCCTTCACTGATTTCCACTCTGATTCAGCAGATGAATGTATATACAAAAAACCCACTGATTTTAAGGTGATTCAGGTCAGCTGTATTCGTAAATATAAATAAAAGCAACAATCTGTGCTCTCCAGACACCAGGGTTGGCAAAATGCATATATGCTAAAACTTAAGAAAATATTTCTGTTCTGTTCCATGGAGTTTAAGGGTTACAAGTATAAAATATAAACTAAAATTTCAAGATGATTTTATTTTGAAGATGCTTTATACTGTATCAATATCTTTTAGAACTCTGTCTGATATTTTGGTTATCTAACAAGAGAGCAGGTAACAGCTTTAGGATGTATGTCTCATTACTATCTGCAGAACTTATATATAAATTGGATGTTTGGTGATTATGCTCCCTGAGAACATGGGTTTCACAGGCTTCATTTTTAGAAAGAAATAATACAGGCTAACTAAAAAAAAACTGGGTGAGAGAACAAGCAACATAGGAAGGGGCAATAATAAGGCGATTAAATAAATTTGAAATTTTGCATTCTTTTACATGTTCTGTAGCATTGTATTTTCCTATTTCAAAACCGTCCTTTCTAAAAGAAAACTAATTTCTAGATAAATAATGGAAATACATTATTTGTTTGATACATAGTTCCATTATTTCTGAATCATGTACCTCTTCTTAGGACCTTGGCACCTAAATGCCAGTGTTACAGTTTGGTATCTAAAAGAAGTATTTTTCAGCCATTTAATCAATTTTCTCACTCAGTCATGATTTCACAAAATGTAAACACTTTTGAAACTAAAATGTGTATTTCTTCTTTTTGTTCTAAAGAATTCAAGGGCTGCCAAATCTATGTGTACAAAAAATTAAGAGACTCATATGTAAATAAGTTAGGGAAGTCCCAATAGTTGTGCATCATTCATTACTCAATGTGAATTTCACACTGAGCAGCATTTCACCATTGGAAAATAAAAATAAAATTTTTGTTCATACCACTGCTTTGTTTGTATTTACTGTATTAAAACTTTAATTACTTTGTTGACATTGTCCAAATGTCTTTGGCTGAGACCAAGCTGCTGCATAGCATAGACGATTTTTCAAGTCAGTTGACCTTCAGGTTTCCCACTTCCATAAAAGCAGTTAAATTCAATGAATACCATGTGTGACAGTGTAATCTGTTCTAAACAGTGATTTTGAATAGTAGACAGAATTTTCATCCTGAAAGTGACATATTTTCATTTTCAATATAACAAATTTTCATTTACTTTACTTTTAAGAGGCAACTGTACTACACAGAACAGTATGATAGAAGTATATATGAGTTGCAGAATACATATTCAGAATAGGCAATCATACATTTATATCTTTATTAGTTTCCTTCCTTATGTTCCCATAGGTTATGTACTTGAAAGTATTGTAGTATGTAGATTAGATAACCAACTTACTGACACATTAACCACAGAAACTAAGATTTTTTGTGGAAAAGGGTCTGTTCAAACATTTTGGGTCTTCAGTTTATGAGTGTCTTGTAACTGGATCTCAGATAATTATTTTACCAAACAAAAAATCACTAATGTTTTTATAGGCTTCTTTACAGCTTCTTTCAATTTATGAGCTGGTGCATAATCAGGATTGTTAGAAAGAAAAAAAGGTCAAATAATGTATTTTTCCAACACCATAAAATTAATCAAAGTAGTTATTTGACAAATATTCAGCTAGTGTTACTCCTCTACAGGGGTATTGTTAAGATTGACAAGGAGAGGTGATGACCAAGTAAATAATGTTAAAAAAGGCTTCCTTATGCTCTTTCCAAAGGTTGCTTAAAGAAACAAGCATTATAGATATAATCTCAGTTCCACTGAATTTACAAAAAAAACTCTGGAGGAGTTCCACAGGGCCGGTATTTTATGACTTCACCCTCTAGAGCTGGGGTTGTCCTGCTCCCTTTTTTAGTTTTTTTGATGCATTTCTTTAAGGAGCAGGTCCTCAGACGTGTTCTAAGGTACTTAAAACCATGTATGTGTGCTTACATGCACACCCACACCCACACACTGAGCACTTCTGAAATTAAATGTTCTAGCATCCTAAAGAAAAACAAACAAAAAAACCTCCTCAGTCTTTGACACCCTGCATTAAGGGTATTCTCTCCCCAGCCAGATTTCACAAGCATTTCCATTCCATCCTTCCCAGCACTCACAGTTTCCACAGCTACAAACACCGTTGCCTAGAATAGAATGAATAAAAGGCAATTATCATAATTGAAATGTACTACATTAAAATGTGTTTTATGGGAAGTAAAAAGCCACGGTAAAGTAGTTGCATTGTTCCTTTATTGTTCCCCTAACCCTTTTTTTTTCCCCCTTTGGAAGGAAGCAATTATTGTACCATTGCATTAAGAAATCACCCCAAACCTACATTTTCAAAGCATTAATAGCATTCTCTCAATAATTCCATCAGCCATATTGCAAATATTGTAATTGTGTATTGTGTAGTGCAATTGTATACATCAGTATCTGTACCCAGCTGGTGAGGTTCAGTGTTCGCACTGTGCCTCAAGGTACAAGGTAAAACAAGATTACTTTTAACTACTACAAAGAAAGAAAAAGTCATTAAAAGTTACCAACAGAATAGCAATAAAACCATCACTCTAAACATGAAAAACTTTACACCTACCTTTTCAGGAGTGCTATACAAATAAATCATATCTCAAACTCTCTATTAAGTGAAAAATGTGTTGGCCCTATTTTACAGTAGGGAAACATTACATACTGACACCTCTATTTTCATTTTATTTAAATATTTTTTATTACTCAAATGCTCAGCTTGAGACAGCTACAGCATGAGTTTCCAATGTGAACTCCTCTTCCTACCAGCTTTATGAAGATCCGTGAACAGCCATTACAGCTGAAGATAAGACTTCTGCTGCTGCTACCCTGGCTACTTGCCTCCAGAAAAGGACACTTGCTAATAGAGCTAGCTGGAAGACACAATTTACTAGTGTCAGCCCTCCCACTCTCACTCTAATCAACTTGCAGATTTCTTCCACGTCAAATAATTGCTGGCAAAATTTTTCTAAAATTAAGATTTGTAACAGGAAGAAGCCAATGAGTTAATTTAGCAATTCCCATGCTGCTTCTTGTCACTATGTTTATTGTGAGGGCTTGTTGGCACCCTGCTCGTTTCTATCCACATCTGCCACCTCAACTTTCAGACAATGTTAAGATGAAGCTGCTATAATCATTAATTTAATCATCAGCCATCACATCATAAGAAAAGTTATCGTGCATTTCAGGCTCCCACCAACAATTGCCTGATTGCCAGGAAGGTCTGTTAACCCACACAACTACGCCTCTGAGCCACCAAGGATCATCAGACAAGTGAATTTTGTCTGTGACTTAAATTTACACACATAGAATGTCCAGTAGAAGAACAAAGGCTAAGGAAACCTCATCGTAATGCTGACACTATGTCCTTTGCCAAAAAAGCAGTAGCTTGTAGTCTATTACAGTGAGAATTGTTGATGGATGTAATAGCTGACTTACTTATTTAAATTCATGCTCGGGCTTTCAACTGTTGTTTTGAAACCTTAAGTTGATTATCACACTGCATGAAGAAACAATTATGGCAGATTTGAATAACCAGCAAATGCACTTCCTCTGTCAGTGGGGAAAGAAGTAGCTAGGCTTTGTCTAACACAATTCCCATCAACACAGTTTGTTTCCTGAAGCAATTAAGTGTTAGCCTGTACTGCACCTGTGCAAATGAGACCGTCATGTTTGTCACAGTCTCTGTCATCGCATTCACAGAAATCGCCTGAAATGTACCATTCCTGGGGAGAACAGATGCACTTTCCACAGTGGCAGGAACCTGAAATCACAAAAATTATTACTCGCAGTCAAAGAGCACTGTCAGTTTCAGACTAGAAAACAACAACCCGCGACACACACGTGCACACATATGCACGTGTGCATATGCACAAAATTGCTACCTAAGAGGCTATTACATAAGAGAAAATAATCAAGCTAAAAGTCTTTTGAATAAAAGGATTCTTTTGGCATGAGCTTGAATATGGGGGAATGTTACTACTAACGCTTTGATCCTGCTATTTCACTTAATCAAGGCTCACATTCTTAAGCTTTCTTTTGGTTTCAGAGACCTACAATCAGGGCTTCTCTTCCCAGTAATTGTTTTTTTGTTTTTTTTTTTACTAGTAAAGCTCAAATTGTCCCCAACCCACTGTTACTGAAGGCAATAAAATCACACACAGGAAGGAAATAGTCCTCCTCATCTAAATTTAGGGCTGGGTCCACAAAAGACCGGCAATGCACAAGACTAACATTTAGACCCCCAAAATCCTCATCACCACAAACGAAGTTTCTCCACCTCCCATGGAATTACTAATTAATTATTTGCTCTAGGTCAGAAAGAGTTTGAGCACATAATGGCAGTTCAGCACTTGGCTTATTCCTGCAGTGTACACTAGTGCCCTTTGTTGGGACAAGCTGCTCTCCTCTTTCTCCGGGATGTCAGGTCACAGCCCCACAGGGAAAGGAGAGACTCTATGGTGATGTTCAGGTGATGCCATAACCTACAGAGCACCAGAAACCTCCCTTCAAGGGAAAGCTCAGAGACATTCTTACCTTCAGAAGAAGGTTCATGTCTCTGAATCCTGGAAAGTGACAATTGCCCTCAGACAATCATGTGTCAGGAAGACTGTAGCCTGAGAATGGGGTGAGACAGGCTTTTCTGCAACTAGAAATGCCACTAGGAGATGGTAATTCCTTCTGGATGATTCCAAAACTTGGCTGAAAAGATTCAGCTTTTCAGATCCCATCTTCAGCAGCTTGACCCTATACAGATTTCAGTACAACACCTACAACGCTAAGGTGGGGCTCTTAGTAACTGCTGTGCAAAAATCCTTTTGTGAACCAAGCCCTAAGAAAGGGTTACATTAGAAAACATTATTAAAAAAATCAACCCCCCAAATAAATTATAGCAAAGGATACACACATAAATTTTCAATTATCAGAGGCAGAGTTTAAAAAAAAATCATCAAATAAGTTGTTGACATTTAACAGAACATACTTATAAATTAGTTAAATGCAGTTGAAAATCCTAGCTTCCTGCAATATTTCCAGAATGATTCCAGTAAAAGTCACCAATGTGCTTAATGCAATATTAAGGAAAAAATATATAGAAGGAAGCTTGGTTATGTCAGAATATAACCTAAATAGAATTCATGGGTTACTTAACAGGGCCTTAGCCAAAGCCTATAAAATTATGCTTCTCCATCTTTCCAGTTCTTTCAGACCTCTGAAAAAAATCCATAATAATGATCCTATTACACTTTTTTTTAAAAAAAAAAGTACATCTCTTGATATCAAGGAATTTTCCATAGGTTTTTCCTGTAAATACAGAAGTACCTCTGATCACTGAAACTTAATTTTTGAAAACTTCATAACAGCCTCAGCAGAGTGTATAATTTTTAATTAAATATGTAAGTAATTTAATGTTTATTTTAAATTCACAAAAATTAACTCATTGCCTAATTTTAGGGAAATGTTTTAACTTGCAACATATGGAACATGCAAATATATTCAGGAAGAGCTAATGATTGGAACATTTGGGGATGGGAGTATTTGATTAAGCATCTACTTTTTCTGTGACTTCTGAGTATTCCTTACTGAGCCACCAGCACAGAAAATATTGACATACCCTACAAGGATAAAAAAATACCACTGTATAAAGAGGCAGTGGAGAATAGCATATATATTGCATGGTTGCTGTATAAGAGGTACACTAAGACTTACTTGAGGATAATTTAAACCAAATCTCTCTGTTCTTACAAATTGCAAGGTACAGACAACAGAAAATAATGAGGAATAATATGATAATTTTAGTGAAAATAAAGCAGTTAATAAGAGTATTACACTGTAAAAAACTTGAAGCAATTATTCATAAACAGCACTGATGCTGCCACTGAGGAATGCCCACAGTGTTTAAAACTATTTTGCAGAAGATACAGCAAATTTAACACCAAGTCAACCAAGGAAGATCAGGCTCCATAATACAAAATCTGTTAGGGAAATGAATCAAGCCTTTTCCCCGAACAGAGCATGATGCTCTGGGAGGCCCCTTAGTTTAATTAAAATGAGTCTAATGAGTTGTAGGGTGTTTCCTGGGATCCCAGCCAGATCCTCTCGGATGGATTTGGCTCGTTGCCTTGCCTACATCCTGCACTGTTACAGTCGCCATATGCAGCCCTATATTTAATGCCAGGGAGACAGCAGTGGTGGGTGTTGCTGTTTTCCTTTGGAAGAGCTCTTACTACAGGTGGCACAGTCAGAGAGCCAAGATTCTAAAAACAGACTAGAAATGTGGTTGTCCAACTTTGCTTATATTAGCAGAGTGCAATTTTCTGGTATTGTTCAGCGGTTATCTGCTGAAAACTAGGACTCCTCACAGTCCTACAAAAGAAGCTCAAGCTCCTCTCAGTGCATTATAACACTTGCTTATCCTGGCTAGGTTTCCAGCAAAATTCAGTTTTATCTGACAAGTAATCATTATTTTTTTCTCATTGTAATAAATCAGAAAGAGCAATTTGCCATTAGGGTAATGTTCACTAGCTATGAACAGCGTTTTAAAGTATGAGGATCCAGTAAGACATGATTTCCAGATACATATCTCAGCATCAAAAGTAGATTTGCCAAAAAAAAAAATAAAAAAAAGGAAAAAAGGTTATAAATAATTACACTGTCTTTGCCTGTGATCCCCATCCTACTCAGAGAAGAGGCAGGAGATAGTAGCCTGCTTGAATGTTTACTGACCACACAGAAATGAAGTTATCTTATGCAGATATTTCTCTGCTGCAACAAACACATGTGACCAGCTGTTTCTACAATAAAGCTCTTATAGCACCTAATTTGACACTGCTTTATTATATTGACTGTCCTCAGGGCAACCTTCCATCACACTGAAAGCTTACATGTGCTTGGGGTCCGAAGAAACTTAACAAAAAAAAAAATCCTACTATTCTTGCTGAATATGGATTTAAGGTCACAGAATGGGTAAGGTTGGAAGGGACAATTGTGGGGTCATCTAATTCAACCTCCCTGATGAAGCAGTTAATAAGAGTATTACACTGCCTCTCTAGAGCACATTGAGCAGTATTGCATCCAGATGGTTCTTGAGTATCTCCAGTGAGAAAGACTCCACAACCTCTCTGGGCAGTCTGTTTCAGTGCTCGGTCATCCGCACAGTAAAGTTCTTCCTCATGTTAAGGAACTTCCTGTGCATCAGTTTCTGCCCCTTGCCTCTTGTTTTACTGCTTGGAACCACTGAGAAGAGTCTGGCTCCATGTGTCAGGTTTGTGATTCCCAGAGGAAGTAAATGCTGTTCAACAAGAGAGCTACTACTCCAGAAAATCTGAGCCTTTGGAACCTCCATTCAAGCATTCATGTGTAAAAGCACTACCTGCCTGCTGCTGGTTACAACCTAGAGCAACTTTCAGGCTGCTCCAGATTACATCGGTGACCAGATCACAAACCACCCCCTGGGCACTAAAGCCAGCAGACAGAAAAATAATCCCGGGTGTCTCTGCAAATTTCTGCCAGATCATCTACTCCCAAAGCCTCAGAGTAAATTGTATCCTTGATATATGGTCTCAAAGCTAATTGTTCTCAGAGTAAGACCCACTGGCTAGTGGGCTCTCAGCCATCCTTATAAAAATGTAGAAGATAATAAAAATATTTTAAAAATCAACATAATTTTTCGTGTTTATATTTATTTAGAATCTCACATAGTGCATTTTATTTTTACTAAGAATATTCCCTCACCTTCATGGTTTATATATAAAGCATCACAGGGAGACCAAGACTAAGAGAAGAAAAGCTAACTTCTACAGTAAAATAGAGTAATTCATTTTCTCCAACAACTCACCGTTCTCTTACACATACACTAATTTAAACACAGACACATCTGGAAAAAATAAAGAAACAATGCAACTTCCTCATTTTCTATGACATTGCATCAACTGGGGACAGAAAAAACCCAAAATAAAATGAAACAGTTCTGCAGGAGAGAATTCCAAGTGATAATACAGATGGATGAAGGCCAGGCTGGAAACCCTATTTAAATTTCCTCTGCACTGAGATAAAAGTTACCAGGGAAAACTGGAAACCTGCCTGATGTAGAAAGCTCCTAACTGTTTTTTCCAGCTGGTCCTCTGTCTATGCAAGGGACATAAAAATAGAGGAAATGGCACATAAAATCTGGAGTGAGTGCATTCTAGCCTCCAGTCAGTCCCACTACCCATTTTTTGTCTATTCTCTTTCAGATATATTATATACAAAAATAGGTAATTTGCACTATGGGGGAGCTAAAAAGCCCTCTTTCCATTAATGCAATTTCCTAGCCTGAAAGACTGCAAGGTAGGAACCTCAGAGAACAATTTCAGATAATTATCAGGATTTTCTAACTTTTATTCTTCCCTGTGGCATTTTTCTATAGCTGAACTGAAGCTGATGCAACCACCTGAATGAAAATTAGTAAATGAGAAAGTTTTCAGGATTCATTTGTGGGGGCTGCAGACACATACTTTGCTGTTGTGTTGGGGAGCAGAGTGATTAGGTATACCAAATGTTGCTGTTAAACACTCTCTTCCACTTACTCTTGCCCAGTATATTACATCTGTCATCTTCCCCACTGTAGTGTTTCTGCAGGTAGTGCCCCTTTCTCTCAAACTGGATGGAGCACAAACAGTTAGTTTATAGTGTACAGCTATTCCATGAAGACCATCAGCTAAACAGATACAGAAAATTATATGCTACTAACAAAATTGCATAGGGGAGCAACATTGCTGAGCATGTATGGCCGTGGTGGGTGTTTGACAAAATGGATATAAGTGCATTATGGAGCCAAATATAACATCCTTTTAATAATGGGTACCTTTGAAAAGAAAGGGTTATTAAACAACAACCCACTTCCATGCACATTAGTCTTCCAGAATATGATAGTTTTTCACTGGCACTGCACTGACATGAAGTAGCTCAGCTGCCAGTTCTTACCCTTCCCCGAACATAATATGCCATCCGCTGACTCGCAGAGACTTCTGCTCTCCTGCTCCGTCATGTTGCACTTCCTTGAGTGCTGGCACAAGTTTCCAAACCACCCATCCTGGCAAATGCATCGGCCGCATGAGCAGATGCCATGGCCTGTAATGACACCAAGGTTGGTTATGACCAAGGTTGGTTATGACCAAGACAAGCAGAAACCAGTGACTGCAGTCAAAGCTGAGATCACCTTCAGACCTGTGCAGTGTGGAGTGTGTGTAACGGGACAGACAGACAGATGGATGGACAGCACTGCTTCCCGGTAGGGTGGCCTTCTTCAGCTTTCATTCTTATGTTAAACAGGGTGCCCTAGTGATGTGCAGAAAACAAGTGAGGGAAAGGTCAAAGAAACTCTAGAACATAGGTCAAAGATAGACCCTAGAAGTTATAATTTATGCTTTAAAGACAGGGAAAAAAAGATAAAATAAAATTTTTTTGAGAGTTGTTTGTAAAAAAATTAATAAAAAAGGAAAATATTTTTAAGAATAAACTGAGTAGAAAATCTGGCCAGGAAAAAGGGAAAAGTGACAACAAATGCAGACAAAAATATAGGAATGGAGAATGAAAAAGAGAAGCAAAAAATGTCTCTCAGCCAGAATTTCATTTTTCAGCTTTGAATTATATTTCTGCAGCAGAGACAAAATTATACATACCAGTGACTTTTTTCCTACCCTACCCGCTATGTAGGGCGAGGGAGCAGAAATGAAAAGTCTGAGATAATTTGTGAGCATGGGTTGGGAAGAAGCAGTAGGAGTATCTGGCAAAGCATGGAGCTGCAGGATGCGGGGAAGCAAACCAGCAATTTTGTTTTTCTGATTTGTGGACTTCTCATGAGCCAGCAGCACAACCTAATATTGTAAACTGGGAGGCAGCACTGGTAGAATCCCAGAGGAGAGACAAACCTTACAGTTTGCTCTAAGTGGAGTTCCTTCAAAGTTTACTGATGGTCCAATACTTTAAATTAGAAAATACTTTAAATTAGAAAAATACAGGAAGCTCCAAAGTCTTTTAGCTGTCATTTACAGCATCTAAATGTTCAAAATAATTTTTGTATCCCAGAGTCTGTATTGGTGTTTGGGGTTTTTTTAACATACCATCTATACAACTTTAAATGATTTGTAACAATGACAGTGTTACTATGACAGTATTGCTACCCACTTCTGAAAATTGATAACTAGCAACCGCAGAAGCTTGATGCCACTTTTGAAGCTTGATCCTAGTTTTAGAAAGGGAAACAAGGTCAACTATATGACAAATCAAAATACAAGAGATAGAAAACAAGCATATATTGACATGCTCCTTCCAGATAGATGTCATGCAACTGTAACTTAATGTAATTAAGCTTCTGTCAGAGCATTTTTATGTCTTATTTATTTTTAATTAGAATTGAGAATAGCTCTACCAGTTAAGAGCAAAATATACAACTGGATGTCACTGCTGGAAAATTATTAGTGAAGATACAGATACTTTACTCATTTTAGCAGTGAATAGTACAAAATCTATGGTGATTTCACTGAGAAAATAATTTTGTTGGATTTTTCTTGTATAGTCATTATGTGTTACTGAATGCAGAGACTGATCATGTCTGTAAAGCCCTTACATAAGTCAAATAAAAAGGTAATGAATAATCTATAAATTTGCTGCAGTTTACAGTTTACCATATAAAATTTGACTTGCACTTTTCTGCAATGACCATTCCTCTCCTCCTTTATGCCATATAAATCCTCAAACCACGAAGAATTCTTTTGTCTCAAGTAATCCATTTTACAAAAATAATATGTATTCCTAGCTGACACTAGCTTGGGCAGCTGCAGCTCTTTGGGTGCCTTGGGATATTGAGTATACGTGCTTTGCCCAGTGCTTGTTAACTCCTTGCTATCTCATGTGTGTGTGGTAACCTGAGAAAAACTGTTTTACGTGATTTTGTTCTGTATATCTTCCTTGCAAACCACAGAGCAAAGATAGTGTGAATAGTTAAAACAGTATTTTATCATGATAAACAATTAATTTTGGGCTGGATTTCTTCACTTAGAGATTTTTCTTTACCCCAGCTGTTCAGATTGAGAAGATTTACTGGAAAGTGTTGGTCTATCATAATTTCAGATTTAACGAAAAACCATTAAAATCATAAAAAAATTGCATTGCAATGCAATGGCTCTGAGACTACAGATCTCCATTAATAAAAATCTATGTTAATGAACTTCTAAATATTTAACAAAGTTTAAACATTAATGTCCAATCAAGAATAAAGACTTTGATGGGGGAGAGGCAAAGGACAGAAAAAGATGATGCTAAAAATACTGTCATTTTGTTTAGAATTAAAACTCCAATAACCACAAGACTTAAATGTGAAATATGAATGCAGCAACAAAGCAAGCTGTGACAGTTACTGGCGGGGGTCCATTATAGCCCAAGTCATCCCGAACCGAACAGGACTCTGGGATTAATTATTTCTTAACATGATTAGAAACAAAATTGTGTTGTTGTGGGAAATCAGTTTAGGACTACTAATATAGCTGTTGTTGGAGTTCCTGAAAAACCTGCTTGATTATTTTGTAATACAAAAGGCACAACCACATGGGAACATCAGCATGATGAAAAAGGTGAAGTAATCATCACAGAGGAAGCTGGTTCTTATTTCTAGACTGTTTATAATCAGATGATGTTCCTGGAGGGCAAACTAAGGCCAGCCCCAAGCAAAATTTGGCACCTCAGGCTAGGAGTATGAAAAATTGCAGCACAATGCAGGATCCCTTATATAGAACACTTCAGTAAATTAAACAAATATTTCTCTCTGTATTTAAATGGAAACAGGATTTCCTTTTTTTTTCTTTTTAATTGCAGGACTTTCCATTATATTATTAACAGAAGAGAATATTAAACATTTGTCTGGGAGAAATATTTCCAAGTAAACAGGCTTCATTACCCTGCCAAAATATGCTAAACAAGTTGAGAAAAACATTACTGTAACACTGATTTTTACTTTTTAGTTTTTATTGAATACAAGGAGAATGTCATAACAATTGTGAAAACTGCAGTTAGAGAAGCCTAATATAAATGTGAAGCAAAATACTGATTGTCTATTATATTTTCAAAGGAGGCCAGTTAGTATTGTCTGTCTAATAAAGGTGGACTGTGCCTCCAGTTTCAGCAGCATAACAGTCATATAGTTCAGTAACACCTTCAAGTGAAACCTGCAGTGAAAAGGGCTGATGCCATCCTCATATGCATATAGCAGTAGAACAGTGACTAGGAGCAGAATTAGAGCATTGATGAGATGAATATTAAAGTCCTGCCACTCTGTGACATCGATGTTTAAAGAGATTTTCCAAAACTTGGAAGAGTACTAAAAAGATGTAAAGAATTCAAAGGCTACCAGAATGGGGATTCTCAAACTACCAGAGAAAGACAAAGGAAGGGATAAAAGCTCATATTGATAAAACCACTTAAGAAATGAACCAGCATTTCAAAAAAGGGTGATGATGATTGGAACAAACTTTAAAGTGATGTTGGCATGGACTATACAGGAGCCTTTGGAGCATGGCCTGCTCAGGGACAGGCTTTTGCTGCACACACTACACAGACTTCAACATAGGGGAAGCATGGGTGTAGTGTAATGGCTATTTATAGACTAATATACAAGGTTCAGCAAAAAAACCCCTTTGGGATTTACAAATTAATATCTATTAATCACCTTAAATGTTGGTGCATTAGCAATTCCTTTACTGCTCATTTGAACAGAAAGATTAAATTAAAATGCTTTTATAAACCTAAATCACATTTTATGCTATCTGAAAAGCTAATGAAAATATGGTCTCTGTGTACCTACACAAAGTCTTGACTTTTCATACACCTACACAAATGTCTGGGTAACCAGGACAGAAATCTGTAGGGCATTTAAAAGAAAAAATTATAAAAATTAAAATTAGTTAAGTAAAACTATAATAATTTAATATCATTAATACCTATACTGGTTACAATAGGTAGTCTCATATCTAATACATACTGATCCTTTTGAATTTATCTGTTGCTGCCCCTGGATGTGCCTCAGAGCTGGGATGAAGCAGTTAAGCACAAGGACACAGGCATTGAATCATTAATTCTCTACTTAATGTTGTCAAAATAAAGCCCTAAATCACACTAGTGTTATGCCAGTTAGACTCTGACTTCTCTGTTACCTAACATAGTCATTTTCACTTTTGTTAGATCTAATTTCACTCAGTAAACACATGTCCAAATGGTTGGTTTCTTTTTTTGGTTTTTTGTTTGTTTGTTTGTTTTTTCCTCTGGAGAATAAACTGCATTTCTCAATAACAAATACTGTAATAGAATTTCTCAATTTAATAGTATAAAAAAAGTCTAGTGAATTCTGTGACAAGTGTTCTGTGACAATGTTGTTCAGATTTCTCAGTCAAAAGGATTTGGACCCTGCTCCAAAGACTTTTCAATAGAACAGGTGAAAAACTTGTCAGTAGGAAATAAACTCTTATTTTGACATAGAAGGGACCACAGACAAATTACAGGTTCAATTCAGATGCCTAGTGCCATTGGACATACCCTAAGGCACAAAGGACATCCTCATGATGGCACCAGCTATGCAGGAACCCCTGTGTCCTTGTGGAGCCAAGCTGGGGTCAGGCAAGGGAAGCCTTGGATATCAGAAGTGATAAAAGGTGCTTTACTTAAGGTGCCTGAAGACTTTGCAATTATGTCCCACATAGTCTGAGAAGCCGTGGCAGACTCAGGAGCTGAATTTATATTTCTGAATTTTCATACCAATCACTGCCAAAACCTATCTTTGGGAGAGAGACAGGTATAGTTTTTCTCCCCTAATACGGTTTTTAGGTATGTGAGAGAATTCCATAAATGTCCTATATACTTCTATTTCTGTGGAGCACTATTAGTGCAAGAAACAAGGAAATTGTCTGACAGCAACTGTACCATAATATTAACTTTGCTTAATGAAGTATATAATTAATCATAACTCTCTCATTTTTATGGTTATAGTTTTATTGGTCCTCATAAGAACATGCTAGCTGAAAATGTCATGCTTCTGCTTCACTGAACAGATGACAAAAATAAATCTCATTCATGATTTCTGC